CTTTCTCTGTACCACCAGCTCCCAAATAATGATATGGAGACTTACTATTAACTATGAAAGCTTGGTCTTAGCTTAGGCTTGTCCCACTAGCTCTTATAACTGAAACTAACCCATTATTTTAATCAACATTCTGTCAAGTGGCTCATTACCTCATCTCTCCGTACTGCTCATGCTGCTTCCTCTGTGTCTGCCGGTGACTCGACTTTTTCTTCCCAGAGTCCCACCTGTACCGCCTGCCTAGCTATTGGCCATTTAGCTTTTTATTACACCAATCACAGCAATACAGTTTCACACACTGTACAAATAGCCCACAATAATCCACCAAGATGACATTGCAAATTCTTAACATCTTTGCCTCAAACATATGGGCACCCAAGTTCATAAAACAATCACTAAAATTTGACCCTCACACATTGATAGTGGGAGAGTCAATACCCCACTCTCTCCAGCAGACAAGTCATCCAGAAAAAAAACCTAAGCAGTGAAATGCTGGAGCCAGCTGATATCATAAATCAAATGGACCTAATAGATATTTATAGAACATTTCATCCAAACCAAAAGAATATACCTTCTTCTCAGTATCTCATGGAACTTTCTCTAAAACTGACCACATACTCAGACACAAAGCAAAACAAACAAACAAACAAAAAATAACAAGTAAATTGAAATAACACCCTCCATCAAATCTGACCAGCACAGATTAAAGATGAATATCAACAACAGAAAGATTGCAAACTCATTGAAACTGAACACCTCAATGCTGAAAGAAAAATGGATCCAGGTAGAAATTAAGAAAGAAATTAAAACCTTTTTAGGAACTGAATGAAAATGAATAGACAACATACCCAAACTTATGGGACAAATTGAAAGCAGTTCAAAGAGGAAAGTTCAATAGCACTAAGTGCCTACTTTAAAAAAAACTGAGAGACCTCACATCAGTAAGTGAACAGCATACCTGAAAACTCTAGAAATAAAACACAAAAGGAGTGGGAGGCAAGACATAATCAAACTCAGGAGGGCTGAAATCAATAAAATAGGAACAAATAAACAAAATGCAGAGGATCATTGAAATGAAGGGTTGGTTCTTTGAGAAAATCAATTAAGATTGACAAACCCTAGCCAAATTCCAAATAAACTAAGTTACAGACAAAAAGCCAGGCACAACAGCAGACAGGGAGGAAATCAGAGACATACTTTAAATCCAGACATAATTTAAAAACCTGTACTCCTATTAGGAAAATGAAGTAGAAATGGATAATTTTCTGGATATTTAACACTTACTAAGGTTAAATCAAGATCAGATAAGCAATTTAAACAGATCTATACCTCCTAGTGAAATAGAAGCAGTAATTAAGTTTCCCAAGCAAAAACTCCACAACCAGATGGTTTTAGTAAAGAATTCTACCCAGACTTTCAAAGAATTAAAGCCAATATTTCTCAAATTCCACAAAATACAAATATGAAAAGAATTCTACAAAATTTTATAGAATGGACATTTCCAGTTCATTTTATGAGGTCACAGCTACCCTGATACCTCAACCACATAAAGACTCAAAAAAGAAAGGTAATTACAGACCAATTTCCTCTATGAACATAGGTGCAAAAATTCTCAATAAAATACTTGCAAACCAATCCAAGAACACATAAAAAAGATCATAAATTGATAGATGTAACCCATGACATAAACAAACTTAAGGAAAAAAGAACATATGACTATCTCATAGGTGCAGAAATGTGTAAGACAAAATTCAACAGCCTGGTCTACAAGAGCTAGTTCCAGTATAGCCTCCAAATCCACAGAGAAACCATGTCTCAAAAACAAAAACAAAAACAAACAAACAAAAAAAAAACAACCAGAAAACCACATACACATAAAGCTCAGGATAGCTAAAACAATCCTGAATAATGAAAGAACTTCTGGAATTATCACCACCCGCTATCTCCAATTTTACTACAGAGCTAATAATAATAATACCAGCATGATACCAGCAAAAAAGAAAAAAAAAGACATTTTGATGACCTCAATTGAATTGAAAACCCAGAAATAAGTTCACACACTTATGAATACCTGGTTTCTGATAGAGAAGCCAGAAATACATCCTGGAAGAAAAGATACCATTTTCAAAAACTAGTGCTGGTCAAACTGGAAGGCTGCACATAGAAGAATCCAAATAGACAAATACTTGATCAAAGACCTCAACTAAGATAAGATACACTGAGTTGGATAGAAGAGAATGGGAGAACAGCCTTGAACTCATTGGCAAGGAAAGGGCTTTCTGAACAGAACACCATTAGTACAGGCACTAAGAACAATTAACAAATAAGAACTCATGAAATTGAAAAGCTTCTGTTAGGTAAAGGACACTGTCATTTGAACAATGGCAGGCTACAGAACAGGAAAAGGATTTTATTTTGTTTTTTGTTTTTAAGAGACAGGGTTTCTCTGTATTGTTTTGGAGGCTGTCGGTCCAGCCCGTCCTCAAACTCACAGAGATCCGCCTGCCTCTGCCTCCCGAGTGCTGGGATTAAAGGCTTGCGCCACCACCGCCCATCCCAGGAAAAGATTTGTACTAACCATATATTGTATTGAGTCTTTCTTTGTCTTTCCAGCCAGCTTCCAAATAATGACATGGAGACTTATTATTAATTAAGAAAGCATGGGCTATAGCTTAGGCTTGTTCCTAACTAGTACTTATGACTTAAATTAACCTATTTCTATTAATCTACATCTTACCACGTGGCCTTTTACCTTTCATTCTGTATATCTGTTGTTTTGTTGGCATCTCCTCTGGGTCTTGATTATCTCCTCCTATTTCCTCTCTCTGCCTGTAAGTTCTACCTATACCTCCTCCCTAGCTATTGACCATTAACTCCTCATTAACCCAATCACAGCAATGCATCTTCACACAGTGTACAAACATCCCACAACAAAACATCCAATAGAGGGCTAATACCCAAAATATATAGAATTTTAAAAAATGGACATGAAGGAATCAACCCAATTAAAAAATGGGGTACAGATCTAAACACTGAATTCTCAAAAGAGGAATCTCAAATGCCTGAGAAGTATTTGAAGAAATGACAGCTCATGTTGGTGAGGAGGTGGAGTAAGGGGAACATTTCTTCTTTGCTGTTGAGAGGGCAAACTTGCACAACCACTATGGAAATCAATGTGGTAATTTCTCAGGAAGGTAGGAATAGATCTATCTCAAGATCCAGCTATACTACTATTGGGCACACATCCAAAGGATGTGTCATCCTACCACAGAGACACTTGTTCAACTATGCTCACTGCTTCTCTATTCATAAAAGCTAGAAATTAGAAATAACCTAGATGTCTGTTAACAGATGAATGGACTTTATAAAACTTATTATAACATTTTTTATACATTGTTATACAATGACATATTACTCAGGCATTTAAAAATGACATCATGAAATTTGCAGGTAAACAGGAGTTAGAAAAAAAGTCATCCTATGTGAGGTAACACAAACTTAGAAAGATAAATATGGTATGTCTTCACTTATATGTGTGTGTTGGCTGTTAATTCCTCAATAGCAGGCTATAATCCCTATAACCATGGAGGTTAAGTACAGATAAGGGCCTAGGAGAAGGGTTGGATCTCCCTAGGAGTGGAAAATAGAATAGATATGGATGGATGGGGGTGGGTGGGTACTAGAACAGGAGGATCAAATGGGGAGGGGGAGGGAAGAGAAAGGGGAGAAATATGGGGACAGCTAAAACTAAGGGTCATTTGAGGAGTCATATGGAAACCTCTCACAGTAGACGCTTCCTAAAATATACACATAGAAAGTCAGTCAAATTAAATCGTCAAATATCAGGAAGACAGAACTCCAACTGGACATCTCTCATCATAACATGAAGCTTCCAATGCCAAGATGGGTTACATCTCATTGTATTCTTCTTAATTAGAGTTACTATTGCTGCAATGAAGTACCATGACCAAAGCAAGTTGGGGAAGAAAGGATTTATTTCATTTAAAGTTCCATATAACAGTTCAAGGTAGTGAGAGCAAAAACTTAAGCAGGACAGGAACCTGGAGGCAGGAGCTGATGCAGAGGTCATGGAGGAGTACTCATCATGGCTTGCTCAGCCTGCTTTCTTATAGAATCCAGGACCACCAGCCCAGGGATGGCAGCACCCACAATGGGCTGTGCCCTCCCATCAATCACGAATTAAGAAAATGCCCCACAGGCTTATCTATAACCTGATATTATGAAGGCACTTTCTCAATTGAGGTTTCCTCCTCTCAATGACTGTAGCTTGTGTCAAATTAACATAAAACTATCCAGCATAGTGGATATCCATAGGAGCCTTCAAATAACCAGGCTACTGTCATGCATAATTGTTGCTCTCCATAAACTGACACTAAGATCCTATTGCTCAAGAGAACTCTACATAACTCACTAAATGTGGAGAAGTCCAAGAGTACCTACCTAGAACTTTCACCCTTACTGACTAGACTTTATGATACTGGAAAGTACTGTGCACATACTACCAGAGGAGAAAGTTAAACCCCAACCTGCTACAAACCCTGTGATCTACAACGTATGCTGATATGATAGTGGCACAAACCAACCAAAATCTGATTTGATTGAAGGCCAAGAACCTGCTATTAGATAGGCCAGGGACTGGGAAGAAATCAAAAGCTCCTGTTCTGCTTCTCCAGCAATAAATGAGTCCTAATGACTTTCTACTACACTCACAGATCAGTGAAGCTTGAGATCTCCTTCAATTCACTGTGTAGGCAAGACTAAGCTTGAGTTTCTGGTCTTGTTTTCACCCTGAGTGCTAGGGTTACAGGTGTGTGTCAGCACTCCTGGTTTCTACAATGTTGGGCTTTGTGTACACTGGAAAGCCCTGTATCAGTCTTTAGAAGAAAGGTTATTAAGCTTGCATTACATACTGGTCGTGGTGTTCAGGGCCAACACACCACTGACAGAGTGCTGGATTTTATATGAGCTTAGAGAACACTCACCCTTTTCCGTGCTTCAGATTTTTGGAAGCTCTCATGCTGTATAAAAGTAGCTGCGGCAGAAATCCTGGGCAGTGCTACATGGTCTGCATCAAGCATATTCACAGCTCTCTCCAAGGTCATCTCCATGTCTGCATTCCTAGGCAAACAGTCACAGATTTGGTGAGAATGCAAACCATGCCCTCTTAACTAGTATAAAAGCACCTACCACATCTATTCTCTAGACTTTCTTTAGCCTAAGAAACATCAACACTGGAAGTCAGAAGGTATCAGGAGCTAGCAGCAGAATTTCTCTACTTTCCCTTAGACTGGTCTCTGGGGAGGATTTGTAGAAGAGAGTAACAATGTGCACCAAAAAAAAAAAAAAAAAAAAAAGAAATGCAACTCTCCAAGATAATTAGGTATAGTAAGATAATTATATCAAAAAATGACCTACACCTGATTAACACCTTCAGCAAAGTGGCAGGCTACAAGATCAACTCAAGAAAATCAGTAGCCCTACTATATACAGATGATAAAAGGGCTGAAAGAGAAATCAGAGAAACATCACCCTTTACAATTGCCACGAACAACATAAAATACCTTGGGGTAACGCTAACCAAACAAGTGAAAGACCTGTATCGTAAGAACTTTGAATCTTTAAAGAAAGAAATTAAAGAAGCCCTCAGAAAATGGAAAGATCTCCCATGCTCTTGGATAGGTAGGATCAATGTAGTAAAAATGGCAATCCTGCCAAAAGCAATCTACAGATTCAATGCAATCCCCATTAAAATCCCAGCACAATTCTTCACAGACCTTGAAAGAACAATAATCAATTTTGTATGGAAAAACAAAAGACCCAGGATAGCCAAAACAACCCTGTTCAACAAGGCAACGTCCGGAGGCATCACCATCCCTGACTTCAAGCTCTATTATAGAGCTATAGTCCTGAAAACAGCTTGGTATTGGCACAAAAATAGACAGGTAGACCAATGGAAACGAATTGAAAATCCGGGTATTAACCCACGCACATACGAACATCTGATCTTTGACAAAGAAGCTAAAAATATACAATGGAATAAAGAAAGCATCTTCAACAAATGGTGCTGGCATAATTGGAGACTGGCATGTAGAAGAATGCAGATCGATCCATGTTTATCGCCATGCACAAAACTTAAGTCCAAATGGATCAAAGACCTCAACATAAATCCAGCCACACTGAACCTCTTAGAAGAGAACGTGGGTGGTACCCTTGAACGAATTGGTACAGGAGACAGCTTCCTGAACATAACACCAGTAGCACAGACAGTGAGATCAACAATTAATAAATGGGACCTACTGAAACTGAGAAGCTTCTGTAAAGCAAAGGACACAGTCAGCAAGACAAAAAGGCAGCCCACAGAATGGGAAAAAATATTCACTAATCCCACATCTGACAGAGGGTTGATCTCCAAAATTTACAAAGAACTCAAGAAGCAAGTCTCCAAAACACCAAAGGACCCTATTAAAAAGTGGGCTGCAGAACTAAATAGAGAGTTTTCAATAGAGGAGTCTAAAATGGCTGAGAGGCACTTGAGAAAGTGCTCAACATCTTCAGCCATCCGGGAAATGCAAATCAAAACAACTCTCAGATACCATCTCGCTCCTGTCAGAATGGCTAAAATCAAAAACACCAATGACAATTTATGCTGGAGAGGATGTGGTGAAAGGGGGACACTCCTCCATTGCTGGTGGGAGTGCCAACTGGTTCAGCCACTTTGGAAATCAGTATGGAGATTCCTCAGAAAAATGGGAATAAACCTACCACAAGACCCAGCAACTCCACTCTTAGGCATATATCCAAAAGATGCCCATTCATACAACAAAGATGTCTGTTCCACTATGTTCATAGCAGCTTTATTTGTAATTGCCAGAACTTGGAAGCAACCTAGATGTCCCTCACCTGAAGAGTGGATAGAGAAAATGTGGTACATCTACACAATGGAGTACTATTCAGCAGAAAAAAATAATGGAATCATGAGATTCGCAGGCAAATGGATGACACTAGAAGAAACCATCCTGAGTGAGGTAACCCAGTCACAAAAAGAGAAACATGGCATGTACTCTCTCATATATGGATTTTAGACATAGATCTGGGGAGTGCCAGCCTACAATCCTATGGCCAGAGAGTCTGGGAAACAGAAACTTTATTTAGTGGCTGATCAAAGAAGAGGCAGACTCCCTTGGTTAAGTACTGAGCTGAACTCAAGAAAGCCAGTAACAGAGAGGGAGGACTGATGATCAAAGGGATTAAGACTGGGCTGGTTTAACCCCCAGAAACAGCTGACCAGACAAAGGTTAACTCTTGAATCCCAGGCATCAGCCTGGGAAGCCAGCATGGGACTGATCAAGACCCCCTGAATCTGGGTGTCAGTGAGGAGGCCTAGGTAATCTATTGAGCCTTGGGCAGCAGATCAGTACCCATCCCAAGTATACACACGGACTTTGGACTCCCATAGAACAATGTGAGGTGCACTCTCACCCTGAACTCTTGGGGAAGGGTCTAGGCCCTGCCCTATATGAAATGACAGACTATGGACACCCCCATGGAGGGCCTCACCCTCCCTGGGGAAATGAGGGGATAATGGGGGGGGGGCTCGGGAGGAAGGGAGGGAATGGGAGAGGGACCTGGAACTGACTTGTGAAGCAACCTTGTTTCTTACCTAAATTTAAACTGGAAAATAAAATAAAAAAAATCCCCAACACGATCATTTAAATAAAATTTAAAGGAAATTTGTTCATAGGAATTAAAAATTATCCTTACTTAGAGAATTTCACAACTATAATAGAAACATTCCCCCCATCACTGACCAAACAAACAAACAAAACCATGAGATAGATGTTTCTCAGAGTTGCTCAGACTCTGCTGTTTCACCTGAAAACGCAACAGCAGCCAGGAAAACACACTTGAGTTTCAGTAAAATGAGTCATCTGCTGTGACAAATGCATCGGGAAAAGGAATGTTTAACATGGCTTGCTAGACATTCCTTAACACTTCAGTCCCACTCTGCTGCCCTTTGCTCTGCCACTGTAATGACATTCATCTGGTGCTTGATGGACGACTTGTCCTCTACCAACTGCACGTGATAAAGTCGTATGCAGCTGGACACAGAGAGGGCATGACTTGTGAAACAGTAACCCCCAACGGACTCATAGAGCAACACTCTCCTCTCTTTTTAATTTCTGCTGTGAATCTGACTAAGTACGACAGCCTAATATGGACATTAATTCCAAATAAATACAAATACCAAACACACCTTGGGAGGTTGTTTTCTAATATCTTCTAGCTTATAAGTTCAGTGTGGATATTCTCTATCAAAATAGCTAATTACTGTATGCACATGTCAGCAGTGAGTATATGTAGCACTGTGAGTGGTGTTTCCTTGTGGTGGTGACTGCGCAGAGGTGAGGAGGTGACCACTGTAAGCAGTGTCCCTGTGTGGTGGTGATGTACAGAGGTGAGGATCTAAGAAGCAATGCAATGTATTCTTTATAGTACAATTAAGTTCAGAATATGCCGCCTCGGAGTATGGAGCTCTGGCTACTCTTTATGTTGAGCTGAAAGACATTTCAGAAGTATAAAGGTATTTAAAGAAAAGCAGAACATTGCTGGCCTCTATACTGAGAACTATAAAATGATCTCATATTTGAGAATATACTTCAGGAGACAACTGTAATTAGTTTTTTAAAAAAGGCGGGCCAGAGCTAGGGTTCAGTCTGAGATGCACAAAGCCCTGTGTTCAGTCCCCATCACCAGCGTGGTAGCACAAACCTATAATCCCAGGATTTGGGAGGTAGAGGCAGAAGAAGCAGAAGCTCAAGGCCAGTATGGGTTACAAGAAAGCACTTCTTGAGGCCCACAGAAATATGACTTGATGGATGCGGTTGTGGACATAGGTGAGAGAACAGAATAAACAATTGTCCCCGATTCCTGTCTTCTAAACCAGGAACTCAAAAAGTGAGCCTTTCAACTTCTTTAGTAATGACTCTCAGTGTAGAACGGCTGAGATAAGAGCTTGATAGTGACATGCTTCCATAGCAACATGCACACACACACACACACACACACACACACACACACACATATTCACACATACCAAGACAGAAAGAAACAATAAATGTAAATAACAAATACAAGGAGGAGCAGAAAAAGACGACGACAAAGATGACGGCGACAACTGGTTAGAGTAAGAGTCATTGCTCTAGTCATTTTCTGTGTGTGGAATGTCCACCTTACTTTCCTACCACATGGTTTGCCTCAATCTGGCTCTCCTGACATAAGCATACGGCTACATCTCTGAAGCCATCAGGCTCCTGCAAGTGTTGTCAAAAGAAGGGGAAATCACCTAGCTACCCAGAGTGTGGTGAGCATGCTGCTGTGGAGAGACGATTCACTCCTATTAGAGCAAAGGTCGGAGCATGTTGAGAGCCTAAGCTGACAAACAACACGAGCCTTAACCGGGAAGTGTAATAAGATGTGACTTCAGGCAAGTGGTATGTAAGGGGATGGGACACGTGAATCCCTAACTGACATCTGCATGGCATGCTCAACGTGAATAAAACTAGTGACAGTGAAGAGGACAAACCACTAATTATTCCTCAGAAATTATTAATTAAAACAGGAGGTAGAAGTATAAATGAGAACAACGAACTCTTTGGAGTACAGAGTACGTCACCACATCCTATGCAGTTTCGGTTAATGACTACGTTGGGTGAGAGGCATTTGGAAACAGCAGATAAGGAATCAAGGACCTCCCTGTTCTACTTAAATCAGGCCACAAAACTTCGCAGGAAAAAGATACCCTGGCACAGGAGGAGATATTCTTATTATTGGAGGCTAGGGAGTAGGCCGAAACACCCATACAGGGGATTGAAATAACACTTATCCTCTCATAGCTTTCCGAGGACGGCCCCTGATCTCTGCTCCTCGGCTCACTAAGCCTATTCAAAGCCTCTTCCTCCTGCTCTGCTATACAGGCTGCCAT